TGTACATACAACATTCCAATATGCTGGAACTGAAGGAAAGCGTCACCGATTGCGTGAAGCCATGGTGTTCTATGATCCACCCGAATACTATGATCCACCAGGTTTTCTTTACCCATATTAGCATTCTAATCTCCTTTTTTCTTATATCTCTAGCAGTGGCTCAGCATTCAATTTTCCTCTTCTTTCTTTTTGCAAGTTTCTAGTCTCCCTCGGAGATGTCTCTCTTTAGCTTTTGCATCTTCTATGCCTGCTCATTGGACTTTCTAACTAGTGTAACTTGAAGAAAAAGTGAATAGCTTACTTCCAACCTGGCTTTAGATCCCATACGAATCCAACAACCACTTTGAGATGATGGAAGCTGTCGAAAGTCATGAACCAATATCTGACTGGACAGATGCAGTTATGCCTATATCTTTGTACAACAACGATAATAACTATACCTCAATCCCAAGCAAGTTGGGGTTGGCTATGAATCCTCACTGACCGTGCTGCTCCAATTAAGTTCATCTTAGACCCATATTCTACGTTTTTCACATTAGTAAATTACAACATATTTTGGATGACAAACCGCTACTTGACTGTAGTTTTAAGCAAAATTTGATCAAGAATGAGGTTCCTTTTGGCCTTAGAAGTTGGTACACTTTCCAATCTTGAAAATGAAGCTTAGACAAGTGAGCTTCCAAATAAATTTTTCCCCTTAATGTTGAAAGAAGTAATTGTGTTTTAAATGAATAAATCATATTGCTTAGATCAAGATCAGTATTTATTGGAAATATATCCCAAATTTTACTAACAATGAATTTGGTGTAATAATTCCCTTTTTTTAGTAAATAAATAAGTATGCTTTGGTGTGTGTTAATTAATCCTTTGTGCAGGAGGGCTTTTGACTTTTAAGCCTTCAATCCCCAAGAACTTGTTACTGGATGGAGTGCACTCCATAGATACACACTTTGCTCTTGTTAATTATCAGGTAAGCAGTAGCCAACCCCACTCTGCTGTTTTATCTACAATTTTATGGACTGTGTTGCATGTTTGAAGTATGATTATTGAATTATTATCCCCTAGATGAAACAAATAAGGACTGCGCTTGCTGTTGCTTCGGTGCTAAATCGTACCTTGGTGAGATACTACCCTGATCATTTACTTATTAGCTTACATGCTTCATGTATTTGTGAACTTTGCATTTCTGCCACGTATAGTGAGCTATAAGATGAGAAGATAAAAGATTTGTCCTTTATATGGATACTTCATGCAATGAATTACAATACGTTGGCCAATAAGCATGGCAGAAGCATCTCTGAACTTTGGATGCGTTTTGACATGATCCGACGTCCTTGTTCCTTTAACCATTAAGGCTGTTCAATTACCTTTTCTTTCATTGTTACGCAAAAAGCATAAACTGTGATTTATGTTGTTCTTTGTGATTTTAGGTAATGCCCCCGCTGTGGTGCAGGTTGGATAGGTTGTGGTTTGGACATCCTGGTATTCTGGACGGTTCTTTGACAAGGCAACCTTTTGTTTGTCCTTTGGATCATGTTTTTGAGGTACATATTTCATTTTTTAAACTGGGACTATTTAAATGTCCTCACCTGATGACAAGAAAATTGTGACTAAAGCAAAGAAATTACTAAAAGGAAAAATAGTTCTGTGCGATGAATTACTTTCACATTCGTTTTTGTGTGCGTGAGATCACATTGAGATGTGAATGTGGAGTTTCTGGAGTTTTGATACCTGTGGCTTGAATAGAAGTTCAACGTCTGTTCGATCGTTCTCCATTGAGTAAAGGAAATATGTCAATAGTCCAGAATATAATGTTGTTACGAGAAAGAAGAGAATTTGAGAGAGAACATAGCTTGATTATTCCCTCATGGGGTTTAACTATGTTTACATGCCCCAAGGAAGGAAAGAAAATCAATACATAATTACACCATATAGTCACTGGGAGCAAATCAAGCTTTAAACTATATTTACAATATTCTAGAATATTCACGAGATTTTAACAGTTGTCAATTTCTCTCTAGGACTATTAAGTTTCTATAGGTCCAATTTCATGGATACCATAAAATAGTGTTGTCAGATATTAGCAAATTTTATCTTCTTTGACCAAAGGTTAAAGAATATATAAAATCTGCCAAAATAACCAAAGGTTAATGAAGGTTCCTCGTGTTCTGATATGTCAATATTTTTCTAGTTCAGTTTTCTTTCAGTAGTTTTTGGGTCATTATTGTCTGTATATCTTTACTAACATACTCCTTCCAAATGTCAACTGTGTAAATCGTATCGCAGTAAAATATCATTTGATGTCATTGCTATGAACTTTTCTTTTCTCCTCTAGAGCTTACTATTTCTAAAGGAGAAAGCAGTTATTCTTTTGATGTTTGCATTTATGACCTGAAGTGCACTTCTCTGCATTCTAATTCACTGTCCAGAAGTTTTATAAAGGTCAACGATGAGATGGATACTGATGAGTCTTCACCTTTCTTGATCTTCTATCTTTTGGTACAGATTAATGTGATGTTGAAGGAAATGCCAGATGAGGAATTTGGACCTGGAATCAGTATTAGGGAGTACTCATTATTCGAGAATCCATCAATGCCACAGGAGGTGTTCCATTAGCTTCGTACCTTGTTTACTCTAGAAGCTTGCATCATACACTAAATAGATTAATTCTCTCTTGTTATTCTTTCAGGTGAAAAGGTCGTGGCTTGATGTACATCTCTGCCAAGAAGGGTCACTGGGCTGTCAGGTTAACAGTACTAGTCAAACTGGGGTTCTCAAACTTCCCAGACACACTAATGAAGAAACGGTAATTCTGATTTATCTCTTCCCTTTTTCTTGGACCAGGTCAACCCATCCCCTTATACCACTTTTTGGAGGGCTCTATAACTGGATCAACCCTCTCTTGTCTTAGTAATTCTGATTTCTTATCGGAAACAGATTACTACTATTGGCAAGAAGACAAACTTTCACAAAGTAGTTGACAACAGTGCTTACAAATCGATGCCGTAAATTTGCTCCTTTCAGTAAAACCTGAACTAGTTGGTGATGGATTAGATATTTTCCCATTGCTACAAAACCAAGTACTACCATAGAAATGAAACATGTCTACTGAAGCATAAATGAGAAGACACCCCAAAAAATAACTGGCATATAAGTGACGAGTAATACCTGATGCCTAGAAAGTTTGAATAGTAACAACTAGGAATTTCATCTGGTTCAATGGCTGGCAACTTCACCCACCCTAGAGTAGCCAGTGATTCAATTCTTACCAAGAAATACATTTCCCTTTCCCTTTATTTTGGCCTTCCCCGGAACCTCATTCATTGTACTCGGGAAAAGGAGGGGAGGGTAGAAACAGCAACATAATGTTATAGTCTTCTAACCGTTAAAAAAAATGTTAGTCTTCTAAAACTTTACACTTCAATGAGCTCCTCGTGTGCTTTTAGAAAGTATTAGTATCACCAAAGAGAAATAGCCATTTAAGTTCTAAACTTTGTTTATTATAAACAGTTGAAGACGGTATTCTCCAAGTTTAACGATATGAAAGTAATCCAGTTCTCATCAATGCAAGATGCCTTTGATGGTTTCACGGACAAGGTAATATCCCCTCATTCTTGTCTCCTTCCCCCACCTTTCTCCCTCCCTTTCAGTCTTTATATATTAGTTTTTGATGAAATGAAACCAACAATAATGTGTAATGAATTTGTAACAGACAAGGGAAGAACGATTCAGGAACCGTGTCAAGAGGTATGTAGGCATTTGGTGTTGTGTGGAGAATCACACACCAGGTCATATATACTATGATATGTATTGGGATGAGAAACCTGGTTGGAAAGCAGCAGCTCCCAACTCTACGGAAGATGATCATCCGCCTTGGTGAGGCTTCTTGACCATCAAGCTTGGACTCCATGAGTAATACCATCCTCAGAACTGTGTAAAATTCTGTTCCAATGCCTCTTAACATCTTGCACTTCGAGAGGGCTGTAACAATGTTTCATAGAGAATGTACGTTTTATTTCATAGGCTTGGTATGGAGGATCAGTCCTTGATTAGGATGGAAATATTTGCTTTTTTTTATTTTTGTGTACAAGCAAGAAATTTTGATTGTTCAGACATAGGAAGTACAATAAGATGAATGTATGATCCTGATCTGAGCAATTTTCCTTCCTGAGAACTCAGAAGTTAGCAGTGTAAATTTTTCTGTAACATTTTTCTCAGGCTATAAGATTTCTGTTTTATAGGCTAAAAAGTGCTATCCATGTTGAATTATGTGATTATCTCATCTAAAAAATGAAAATAGTTAGAGAGAACATACTTTTGTTACTGCTGATGCAGTGGGGTTTATACTGTTGAAACAAAACAACAAATCAGCAGTTCAACCATGGCAGTGGGGAGAAAAAGAATCTTCATTTTAACCCATCTCATAAAATAGTCTACTTTCCTAACTTATTATGCTACCATACAAAAAAGTTATTTAATGCGCCTTTATGTTTTTCCAAGACCATCCCTTGAACACTTTATGCTTTAAATTGACTGTTTTATACGCCTCACAAAATTTTCTTTTCAATAGTTAGGTTATAACTTGTACTGTGAGTTGAAAACGTCCCTTCGTGCATTTCTGCTTTTTATAATAATATTAATAATAACAACAACAACAACTACTCAATGACCTAACATTATCTTAGCAAATAGACATAATTTCCAACTATTCAAAAAGTTATAATAAGAAAATTTAATTTAGATTTTAAGAAATTCTTCCCTTTATTTAAGATGTGTCAATCTTAACATTCTACTTCTCAATTTTATCTTATGTAATACTTTTTCCATTTGTAAATAGCACACCAAGCAAGGCAGAGTCACAATGTTGGTTGCGGGTTCGTCCGAACCCAATAACTTTTGTTCAAATCCTATATTTATATTAAAAAATTCAATGAATATATACAAATTATTAATTTAAAACCAAGTAACTTAAAAGTGTTATAATTCTGAACCATTAAGATTCAAATACTAGCTCCATACCTCTACCCCGAGCATGTTGCAAAAAGCATTCTCACAAACTCAACCTTGCCAAAGAGCCAAAACACCAAACGCAGTTAGCAGCTAGTACTAAACAACAACCGGAAATATTGCAAAGAACGTATCTGAGAAACTGAGATGGACATGTCATGACTCATGAAAAAGCTGTCCTGCAATGGATATAAAGCCTCTTTCCTCTGGAGATCATTGCCAAACAGATTCCCTCAACATGTACCACCACCTTTGCACTTCCTTTTTCGTAATCTTTACCAAAAACCCATATTTACGCATACCCTTTTGCACATTAAATGCACTTCTATTACATCTCGGAATTTACAAGTTCGTGCTCACACTTATCTTGCCACCCAACTGTTTGATAAAATGCCGCATAGAAGAGTTCAAGATTTCAAGAATGCCAAAGGCCATGAAATATTTCAACTTGTTAAGTTGGTTAAAGAAAACCCTGATATCTTAAGTACTTCACAAGCACATGGCTTAGCGCTTAAAGCTGGCATGCTTGCTCATTTGCCCACTGTAACTACTCTCCTCATCATCTACTCAAGTACCAAACATTTTAGCTCTTCATTGGCTCTCTTTGCTGAAATTATGAGTAAAGATGTGGTAACATGGAATGCTATCATGACAGCATGCATAAAGAATAAGTTTTTCGAATTTGCAGTGAAATTCTTTGCTGAAATGGTGAACGAAGGAAAGGAGTTTGATTCTGCCACGCTTGTGATTGTCGTTTCTGCCTTGTCTAATATGAGAGATTTGAGAAAGGGGATGATTGTTCATTGTTCAAGTGTGAAAATGGGAATGTTTTCAGATTCGCTTTTGGGAAATGCTCTTATTGATTTTTATGCAAAATGTAGTGATTTGAGCTCATCGGAATGTGTTTTTGGAGAAGTAGAATGTAAAGATATTGTTTCATGGAATTCAATAATTAGTGGTTGTATTTATAATGGTCATCCTGAGAAGTCATTGTGGTACTTCAAGCAGATGGCGAATTTGGAAAAAGGCACTGATAGTGTGAGTCTTTCTTGTGCTATTGCGGCTTCTGCTTGTTTAGATGAGTTTAGTTGTGGTCAGGTTATTCAAGGATGGGGAATAAAGCTAGGGTATGAGGAAAGCTGCCACCTTTCAGTAGCAAATTCTCTCATTTCATTGTATTCCCAGTCTGGGAACATTGATGCTGCTGAATATGTCTTTAATATAATGAAGCAGAAGGATATAATAACGTGGAATTCGATGATAAGTGGATTCTCTTTGAATGGAAAAGTCGGTGAAGCGTGTGATGCTCTTCATGAAATGCAGTTCACAAGAACCCTAAAACCTGATGCTGTGACATTAATTTCCATTATTCCACTAGCTGCAGAATTCATGCTATTGAGAAAAGGGAGAGCTATTCATGGTTTCACCATCCGGAGAGAGATGGGAGCAGAACTGTCGGTGATGAATGGTCTCATGGATATGTATTTTAAGTGCAAAAGGGTCAAGGACGCTGAGCATCTCTTCTTAAATATGGCAACGAAAGATCTAATTTCATGGAATACCATAATATCTGGGTATTCCCAGAATGGCCTGTGTAGAGAAGCTCAGTCTTTGCTTAAGAAGTTCCATAGTTGGAACTCAGAATGCAGCTTGTCAACTCTTCTGGGAATTCTTCCTGCTTGTGATTCCCCCATCTCAATCCAATTTGGAAGGTTGATCCACTCATGGGAGGTGAAGTTGGGATTTGTAAATAATATCATCATAGTAAATTCCCTGATTTGCATGTATATTTCTTGTGGAGATCTAGTAGCTTCTTTCAAATTGCTGGAGGAGATAGCTTATATTGCTGATGTGGATAGCTGGAATACCATGATCTCGGGATGCACACAGAAATGCCACTTCTCTGAAGCTTTAAATGCTTTCCAGTTAATGAGGCTCAAGTTCAATATCAACAATGATACTATTACTCTAGTCAATGTCATACCAGCATGTGGAAATCTTGAATTGACATGTGAAGGAAAGTCAATTCATGCCCTAGCTTTAAAGACCTCAGCTGGTCAAGATATTCGTGTGCAGAATGCTCTCATTACTATGTATGGAAAACTGAGTGACGTGGAAAGTGCAAGATTAGTGTTTGAACTTTGTTTTCATCATAACTTATGCTCATGGAACTGCATGATATCTGCTTTAGCTCAGAACAATAATGCTAAAGAAGCAATAGAATTTTTCTGTTTACTCAAGTTTGAACCAAATGAGATCACCATGGCTACCGTTCTTTCAGCGTTTCGACAACTTGGACTTATTAGACATGGGAAACAGATCCATGCATACCTCATCAGATATGGTTTTTATAAAAATGCGTTTGTAGCAGCTGCTCTTGTGGATATGTATAGCAGCTGTGGCAGGCTAGACATTGCAAGTCGAGTGTTTCAGAATTCAGCAGAGAGATCTGTTGCTGCTTGGAATTCCATGATTTCTGCATATGGCTTCCACAGCAAAGGTCAGAAAGCAATTGAAATCTTTCATGAGATGATTGATTCAGGTCTTACTCCATCAAAAGTCACATTTATCAACTTATTAACAGCTTGCAGTCACACAGGGCTTGTTGACCAGGGGTACTGGTATTACACTCGTATGCTTGATGAGTTCGGAGTTCAACCTTCCACAGAGCATCATGTCTGTGTAGTTGATATGTTAGGCCGATCAGGGAAGCTGCAGCAAGCGTATAATTTTATCAAAGACCTTCCCAGTCAACCTGATCCAGGAATCTGGGGTGCTTTGCTCAGCACTTGCAACTATCATGGTGATCTTCAACTGGGGAAACAAGTAGCAAGCATACTCCTTTTGTTGAAACCTGAGAATGTCGGGTATCATCTTGCACTGTCCAACATATATGTTGCTAGTGGAAGCTGGAAGGAGGCTGGAGAGTTGAGAGACATTGTTCATCTAAAAGGGTTAAAGAAATCTGCTGGTTACAGTCTTATTGATGTTGGCTCCAGCTGAATTAAACATCATCAAGACCTCATGCAAAGAGTTTATCTTCTGAACTGCCACGAAGCCAGCCTGAGTCTATTTTCTAAGTGTTCAGGCAGTCAACCTGCTCACCTTTGGAGGACTGGGCGTGGTGTAGAAAGTTCTGGTTTAGTGGAGCAAAGCAGCTAACAGAACATTTTGTCGAGCATCTTAAAGAAATTATCTAGCTTCTATTGGCCCTTGTTGCTGGTAGAACTTGATGATCCGTGTTAATACAAAATTTTCCAAAATATTTCTTTTCCCCTCTTTGTCTGATTGGACATAAACATTAAACAGAGCACTTGTGATGGTGAGGATTCATATAGCCGATCCAACTAGTTTGGGATTGAGGTTCGATAGTTGTTCTTTCCCCTTAGTCTGGTGAGAGACTTAGGTCAGTGTAGGATGAATGTGAGATTTAAAGCTTTAAAAGATTTATTATTTACCAAGACTAAAATGAAACGAGCCTGATTAGAGTGAAATAGATGTCGAGGATTTGTATAAGCGACAATGAGGAGCAGGTGAACTTTCAGAAACCACTATGTTTTAGTGGTTATTAGCTAGTTGTAGCTACCATTTACTATATTACTTTCTATAGCTATGTTTTCAGGTTTTTTAGAGTGTATTCGATGTATTTAAGCTACAGCTGGACAGATTTTTGTATTCGACTGTATTCACGGCGTGAAACAGGGGATTACAGCTAGACAGATATTGTATTTAACAGTCTCACGATATGTAATTGTGAATACAGTAACGTAAATAGCGCAAATCGTGGTCTATTCAGCTGATTTTAAACGGAAAGTGAATCAATTAACACAATAAACTCCTAATATAACCCAACTAACTCAATTATATGTCTTAATACATAAAGCCATCTGAATACATAAATTATAATAATTTTAAAAAATGAATACATTCATGGAATATAGCGAGACAGTGAATACAATGAAATACATGGAATACAACGAGATACATTGAAATACAATGAAAAAAAAACAATGAATACAATGAAATACATATAACACATCGAGATACATTGAAATACAATTAAAAAAACGATAACAGACTCTTCGAGTTGCTCAGCCGCAAAACTCCGAATACAACAAAATACATTGAAATACAATTAAAAAAACGATAACAGACTCTTCGAGTTGCTCAGCCGCAAAACTCCGAATACAACAAAATACATTGAAATACAATGAAAAAAGGTAACAGACTCTTCAAGTTGCTCAGCACCAAAACTATGTCGTCTTTGTTCAAGAATAACCTAATGTCGTCTCGTTGATAGCAGGTTTCGACGAATTTTCACTTTGTTTCCATCGATAACCGGTGAAACGAAATTGCTTTGATCGCCGGAGATTTTCAATGGAGGAAAGGCACGAACACTTTGTTTCATCTTTGCCGCCTAACTTTCAATGGAGATTTTCCATCGATTTGTGTCTAACACTTTGTTTCCATCTTTGCCGCCTAACTTTCGCAAATTACTGTTACAGCAACATTACAAGATTGAAACATATGCATTGATAAAAACAATAAAAGACGATGCGGGTGAGAAAGAATTTCAGTTGCAGAATCGTGTTTTCTAGGGAAGATAATGACGTGCATCAAATTAGAGAGAACGTGGAGAGAGAAATTTACATCAAATACGGTAATTATGTGAGAGAAAAATCTGCAAAAGGAGAGAGAAAAATAATAGCGTATACAGTGGCTTAAGTATATGAGTTAACCATAAATAGATATTTTTTTATAAACATTAAAAGGTAGGTATAGAATATAATTTTTTAAAATGGTATTTATTTAAAATAAATAAGGTGTTAAGTTTTGCTATAGGCAGGGGCGGAGCTGCCCTTGTCCGAGGGGGGTCAACTAACACCTCTTCGCCGAAAAATAACACTGGGTCGATAGGTATTTTTAATTTTTTTTTGAATATATACAATGGGTTGATATTTGACAACCCTTGACACAAGACAAGCTCCCAGTGCAATGGTCAAGGGGTGTCAAAAGTGATGGAAGGTCGCAAGTTCCATTCCCGGTCGCAGCGTAAACTTCAAACGACGTGGTGCTCTCATTCTCAAAATTGCTCAAGTGCCCTTGTTGTCACCGTCGTTCGACGTTGGTCCTCTTTGCAATTGCAAATGGCTGGTCTATTTTTGCCTATCATGGCAGCCACGGTAAGTTCCTTTACTATGTTTCTTGTGTCGTTCCTTCCAGTTTCTCATTTACTTTCAATGGCTACTTTTAATTCATGTGAGCATCTTGGACTTTTTGAATGTTTTCTTTACCTTTAAGTGAGCATCTTGGACTTTAATTGTTTCTTTATTTTAAAGTGAAAATTCATGTACCAAAAGTCAAGAAACCTTGACAAACTTGACAGTTGTTATAATTGTGGATTGTGATATTTTATAAAAAATATTATTTGTATTTTTTCTAATTAAATTTTATTTTATAACTCAGAATCAAAAATCAATGAAGCAGTTTTTTTCCAAAGTACCAAAATCATGTTTGGCCGCTCCTCATAATGAATCTGAGTTGGAAGATGTAGTACCAAAATCAAATTTGGCCACTAATATTCAATCTAACTTGAACGAAGATGACAACCAATCGGAAGTACCACTGTATTCTTCTCAAAGACAACAAATTAATCTTGAAACTTTAAACCCCGATCCGGCCGAAAGAACTCAAATCTTGGACTACCATCCAAACCTCTGCGATGAGATTAGAAGAGCATACATTCAGAGAGGTGCTTGTCAACCTCGAGAACATAACTTTGCTCAAACAAATTTTTATGGAGTAATGCGCCGTTTCAATCCTAGATGGTTTGATGATTATCATGAGTGGTTGGAGTATAGTATAAGTAACGATGCAGCATATTGTTTGAGTTTTTATTTGTTTAAAGACGATAATATTCATCAAGGTGGATGTGATGTATTTTCTAGCATAGGGTTTAAGAGTTGGAACAAAAAGAAGAGCTTTAATTTGATAAGCATGTTGGTGGGCCAAGTAGCAATCATAATCACGCAAAAAGGAAATGTATAGATCTACTACAACAACAACATTCCATAATTGCATTTGAGAGGCAATCTGATCAAGTTAAGCATGATTACAAGATTCGCTTAACTGCTTTAATTAATGCAGTGAGACTTCTTTTGAAACAAGAATTTACATTTCGGGGTCATGATGAATCTAAAACATCATTTAACAGGGGTAATTTTCTTGAAATTCTCTCATGCTATGCAAAGGTATGTGATAAAATTCAGGATTATGTATTGGAATATGCTCCTCAAAATGATCAGATGACNAGTTTGGCCGCTCCTCATAATGAATCTGAGTTGGAAGATGTAGTACCAAAATCAAATTTGGCCACTAATAATCAATCTAACTTGAACGAAGATGGCAACCAATCGGAAGTACCACTGTATTCTTCTCAAAGACAACAAATTAATCTTGAAACTTTAAACCCCGATCCGGCCGAAAGAACTCAAATCTTGGACTACCATCCAAACCTCTGCGATGAGATTAGAAGAGCATACATTCAGAGAGGTGCTTGTCAAC